CTCCCTCCTAACTCATTGCTCTGCCATCTGTTATAGCTAGAGTGACTGGGGGGAGGGGGTCAGTGGGTATGTGCCTAGAGATAAGGGAATGCATTGTGTATACTGCTAGTATGGACCCATAGCTCACACTCATGCCAGGAGACATTGGGGATGAAGAGGGGTGGGAACAGAAACATCATCTGGTCACTCAGTTTGTTTTCAGTGGACACACATCCCCTTTCTGTACCACCCCTCCCACAGAAGCCCAGTGTTCCTACTGTTCTAGGTTCTTCTTGTCAGGGGATACAATTAATCACCCTGAGGCATTATCAACTTTAAATGAGGGAATCATGCCTCATCAGAGCTAGAAGGGACCTTGGGGGTCATCTAATCTAACCCCTTCATTTTACTGATGAGGAACCTGAGGCCAACAGGGTTAAGTGACTTGCCCAAGGTCATACAGCTAGTCTTCCTGACTCTAGGCCAGGTGGGCTATCCGCTGAGCCACCTAGCTGTCCCCCTCAGGGCTGAGTCCTGTTTTATCTCTAAGAATTGGAGCACACTGTAGATCTCAGTTGGAGGGGCCCACAGAGGCTTTCTAGTTCAACCCCTTTATTTGAATGAGGAAACCAGGGTCCACAGAGGTAAAATCACTTGTCTGAGGTCACATAAGGAGTAATCACTCTATAATTTATCTATAGACAAAGCCCTTTTAGTTAAGTCTCCTGAAAGACAGTGGGATGGCTTTAACTCAACCTGATAAAAACTGGGATTACAGCCTGCCTCTTTCCTCATTTCAAACCTTTATGAAATTCCCTGAAGAAGCCACATGCCTACTAGACTCAAATTTCCTAAAAGGAGTCTTTTTAAAAAATATCTACAGCAAAACATACACTTTTCAGATTTTTTAAAAGGGAAAAAATACATGAAGAATTTAAAATAACTCACTGAACCTATCATCAGAGAAAGAAGGGGAAAAAGGTTAATTCAAATTATTTTGTTTCAAAATCACCCTGAAAAATCAGGTCTGACTTAACTCTATAAGTTAGACAACTAAATAAACAAAGAAATGCTCAGGATTAGCTTGGGCCTCTAAAAGTTAGAAAACCAAGTTGCTGCCTGTCCTTTCCTATAATACAGCCACCTTCTGTTTCCTGTTTGTCTGTTGATCTAATATAGATCATGAGTCCACTGGAGAGAGAATACATGCATGATTTTTCTATTTGGTAGCCATCTGTTCTTATGAAACAACTATTTGTGGCTGGTAGGCAGCTGATTAGGGAACAAGGACCCAATTTGCATCTGAGGGTATGTTTTCATAACTTCGCCTTAACAACCACAAATGCAATGTGTATATTCTTCTGTTGCATTTAGACACACACAGAAAAAAATGTGCATCCCTAGAGTCCCTGTATTTCAAGTACATTAAATTACTGCAGATATGTGTGTGTGTGTGTATGCGTACATATGTGTACGTGTGTGGGCTGGCCACCCTGGCCAGAAAACTCGTCATGAGGTAGCTGATCTTCCGGCACTCACTACCAGCCAGGGAAGGTTGTACTGAGTACCAGCTATGTATTTAGCTGGACCACTCCTCAGGCGACAGACACTCCCTGTTCCATCCTGGGGAGACTTGCCCGTGGCCTGTGGCCTTAGCCTTTCAGAAATGTCGCTGTTCATTGCAGAGTGCTCTTCTTTCACCGAGGCTGAGGCAGAGGCAGATAGATGCGCCTTGCAGAAGCTGTCACGATACCGAAAAGTAAAGAGTGAGCGAATGTGAAGAACGCGGCATCAGAGTTACAACTAGTACGGGACAGTCGGGGCTTTGCCCTAAGGCATTTCCTCCCTGGAAAACTGCACTTCTTTCTGGTGTGTGCCCTCAAGTGTCTCCTTTATATATGGTTACTTCCCAGCCCACCACCAGGCTTTGCTACCATTCATTTGACCAAATGACCACCCCTGATGGTGGATGAATTTGACTGAAATCTGACTCGGCATTCAACCCCATTCCTCCTAATTATGCTTTCTGGGGCCAAACAAAATGAATAACTCCTCTTCCCCATGACAGCCCTTCAGATAGTTAAATACAACTATTATGCCACACTTGTTAACTCATTTTATAAAATGCCTCCACACCAAGAGGGGGAATTGATATGAAGGCGAATATATTTCTAATCACTGAACTGGTTGGGTTGATTGTTGTCTTTCATTCTCAAAAAGGACCAAAATAATCATAGAACTATGCAGATGGTCATATACTACACTAATTTTTTTTATTAATTAATTTTTATTTATCAACAATCACTTCCATAAGCTTTTGAGTTTTAAATTTTTCTCCCCCTCTCTTCCCGCCTCCCTCTCCAAGATGGCACACAATCTGATATAGGCTAAACATATACATTCCTATCAAACATATTTTCACATTAGTGATGTTGTAAGTAAGAATTAGAACTAACAGGAGGAACCACCAGAAAGAGGAAACAAAACACAACAGAAGAAAAAAATAGCAAATAGCATGCTTCGATCTGCATTCAAACTCCGTAGTTCTTTCTTTGGATGTGGACAGCATTTTCCATCATGAGGCCTTTGGAGATGTCTTAGATCCTTGTATTGCTGAGAAGGGTTAAGTTTATCAATATTAATCATCACATAGAGTGGCTGTTACTGTGTACAACATTATGGTTCTGCTCACTTCACTCGGCATCAGACTATACAAGTCTTTCCTGGTTTTTCTGAAGTCCACCTGCTCATCATTTCTTGTAGCACAATAGTATTCTATAACATTCATAGACCACAACTTGTTCAGCCATTCTCCAACTGATGGGCACTACACTGATTTTTATAGCTGCTTATGAGGAGGTATATACTCATCTATTCCAAATTGCTTGATGGACCCTTACTGCTCCTCTGACTGCCTCACTAAAGAGCCCAATCACTTTTGTTGTAGCATGTACAAGAGCTAAGGGAGGTTCAAATTGAATTTTAACCAGATTCCCTCTGATACAGGGAGTTAAACTAAATTCTTTTGCAGCTTTTCATTAGTTCTCAAATTTCTCATCTCTGTTTCCCCGTCATACTATTTCACTCTAACCTGCAGAACTAAACCTGAGAATTCCTTCATTTGGGATAAATTCACTTGTCATTAGGGAAAGAAGAAACAGGGCTCCCTGGGTCTGGCACATGTCCCCATTGCTGATCATCCTGGGTATACTCCATGGTTTAGGTCTCCAGACCACGATGTATTTACACAATCTGCCCTGGCTGGGTGCAGTTGTACTGATGCAGCAAAAAGTAGGTCCTGGCTAATGCATGATGGCATGGGCTTCCTTCCTGCAGAGTTTCTCCTAGGATCCTCCACTGTCCATGCATGGCATACCTCATTTGGGGAAGTATACCCTCTTCCCTGTGTAAGCCTCTTGGCAGCCTCCTGTTTATAGCTCTGCTAAGATGGAGTGACTGTGGCATATTGGGCACTACAGTGGCTGGTATGGGGAAAAGGTGCAATTCTTCTAGCAGAAGTTGGGCTTCTAGCAGGGCTTTTGCCCTTCTTCTGAAAGCTTTGGGGAGAAATGATTTTCGAAAATAATCCATTGGAAAGAACTATAGCAGAGTCACAGTGAGCATTCTTTATAATGTAGAAACAGCCTTAGCAGTGGGGTGAAATATAAATCTTCTGGTCTAGCTTCCTTTCCAACTGGCCTGTAAGAAATAACGTTTCTTTGTGGTTTCTGCTAGAGAGGAGAAAATGTTTCCCCTTCTTTTTATTATGCATACAGTATTTCCTTTTGAAAAGTGTCAGCATCTTCATTGATACTCATCTCATAGACTTAATCAGCTATGCATTTTTCAATATTCTTTTTTTCAAATAGCAGATGCATAGTAAGAACTATGTAAATACATATGTAAGAAGCTCCATGGTATGCTAATTAGCTCTTAACCTTTGGCTGAATGACATGTTTATACCCCACTGAAGTCAATGTCCCCAGGAACCACTCCCAAGAACACTTTAGCAGTGGGGAGCTGCAAGCAATGAGGTATTTGGGTACACTTGTAAGCCCACAGGGCTTCTTCCTGCTTCCTGCCTTTTTTTAAAAAAATTCTTTCCCTTCCACTCTTTAACACTTATCTCCTGTGAAATTCAGTGAAATCAATTTGGTATCTAGCACAAAGAGGCATTATTAAAGGAGGAGGGGAGAAAAAAGGGGATGCATGTTTTCTCCCCGAATTCTCCCTTTATATTAACTCTTGTGTATGCTTATACTAATTCATTAGGTGACTCCGAATCCTTCCCCCTTCAGTCACTAAATTAAACAATGTCTCCAACATGGTGTCATGTAAAAGAGCATTGGATTTGGAGCCAGGGGACCTGGATTCAAATCCCAACACTGTTACTGACTACTTGTATGACTGTGAGCAAATTCCTTAATTCTCACTGGGCCTCAGTTACCTCATCTGTGAAATGAGGGAGCTGGACTGGATGACTTCTACATTTCTTCTAGCTCGAAAACTATGATCCTTTGTTCCCTCCCTGTTTCCTTTGTACCAAGGAACATACCTAACATGGCTTGAGAGTAAGGTATTTGTAGTGGGGTTAGCATTTGGGGTAAGGATCATGCCTGTTCTTTTCATGATCTACTAGACAGTAACCTATGTTGCACAATGATACAGAAAGTAGAAGCCGTCTCTTTCCTTTGAAAAAAATTACAACCTAAACTCTTCTCTGTTAGAAGGGGATGTGTATCTGCAAAGTTCACAAATAAGAAGATACCCTTTGAGAGAATCCAGGTGCCCAGACTAACTCTAACTCTTGTACTGGATACCAACTCAAAGCAACTTTTGCCTGAATATCCCGGGAATAGGTCACTCTCAAATCCAAAATAACTGATAATTGCTTTGTGAAGCTAGGCATGAATATAATATTCAAAACTAATTCTGCCCATGGGGATTCTAGTTAGCCTGCCAAATTTATTTTATGTCTCTTCTTCATAGTTACCAATGTCAACCTCTTCCCTGTGCTGCAGGGAACTTCTGGAGACCACGTGCCGCCTGGCCAACACATTAAAGAAACATGGAGTGCATCGAGGAGACAGGGTGGCTATCTACATGCCTGTGTCTCCACTGGCAGTGGCAGCCATGCTGGCCTGTGCCCGAATTGGGGCAGTTCACACAGTGATCTTTGCTGGTTTTAGTGCTGAGTCCTTATCTGGAAGGATTAACGATGGTAAGCATGTCTCTGGGGATGTGAAGGGTGGGGAGATTCAATGGTCCCCGTAGTTCTGACTCTTCTCTGATTCAACCTGTCTAGCTCTTCCCTCATGGTTTGAAATTGTACCTTTCCAAATCAGTGAAGCACCTGGGTTTTAGTTCTGGCTCTACCACTAATTAGATGGCTGGATGACTTAGGCATTTAATTCTCCTAGGCTTCAGATTCCTCATCTATAAAATGGGGATAATAATGCCTCCCCTTCCACTTTACAGGGTTGTTAAAGGATGAAATAAGACAGTGGATATGAAAGCTGAATAAATGTGAGAGATAATGATCATATGGGACAAAAGGAGAAATTTTATAATGTATCTTTCTGAAAGTCCTCATGTGATCTGCCTGCCTGTGAGTTCCATCTGGCCCACTTTCTAGCAATTGTTGAGAACCGTAGCTTTCTTCAGCTTTTTAAGAAGATTGAAGATTTGGAGCATTCGGGCAGCAACTCCTCACCTTTTCCTGAGTTTTCTCTCCTAGTTTAGGGTCTCTACAGTGGCTTCCTCAGAGTCTGATCATTCCCAAAATGTTGTTATTCAATTACACACTAAATAGAGGAGCAGGCAGGGATGATGTATTAGTTCAGGGGACCAAAATGGATTCTCATTGAAATCTGGTGAGAAGATGACTGTCCCTGAGAAGGCTCTAGATTAAAAGCATTTAGGATGCAAAAGGCTCCCAAGATACTCCCTTTGTCCTATTGACTGGCCAAACTGATTTCTTTGCATGTTGGCCCTGGGCAAGCCCGGGTTAGTTTTCTTTTGTAAGAACCCCAAACAGCACCTTTATTGTTGGGCCCTGTTTCTGTATTCCTCATGTCGTCATGGCTCTTTAGAAGCAAGCTCCCCAGCCTTTCCTATGTGAGGGACTGCATTGTACAAGCATATTGATGTCTGTTCAATAGGCCTTCTCATTATATATCCATTTCTTGCTCCCATTTCTATAGGACTTGATAGAATTTAGGTTGCTGCTGACCTTAACATTACCTCTAAGGGAACAATCCAACAGAAAAGTCCTTACAGTGTTCATCAGCTTCAGGTTTATGTCAAGAGATCTCAGTGCTGTCACCTTAAGTGGCTGTTCCATCAAGGGACAGGGGCTGAAACCCGTCAGCATCAAAGTAAATGTAACTGCAAATTACTATGAAGGGAAGTGCTTTGAAAAGTGAAGGGAAGCATGGGATTTGTACCAAGATCCTACTTTAATTCTCAATGGACAACAGACTGAAAGTCCTGTGTATAATATAATAATATAATATATATGTGTATAATATGTACTAAATGTCTGTGCTATATATTTTAAGAGTGCCTGACACGTACTGATCTTAATTGTCTAATTTCCTGCTTCTAACCCCATCCCCACGCCATGTGCTGAGAAGCATCCTGGGATAGTGGATAAAGAGCTGGCCTTGGAGTCCCACCTATGACACGTACTGACTATGGAATTCTGGGTAAATCATTTACCTTCTCTGTGGCTCAGGCAGCTCTCTTAAGAGTCTAAGTTGCAGAGAGAAGGTACAGAAAGTTCCTCACTGGATTTACAGATGAAGTTACAGGTCTGGTTACAAAAAAAAAAATTCCCCTCTACTAGATTTGAGGGCAGGAATACATTTGTCAGGGAAGTTATAGAAAGGATTCCTGTTTAGGTAGTTTGGATTAGATAATATTTGAGATTCTTTTTGGTTTTGTGACCATGTTTTAATTAATCTTTATATCTATCTATTCCTTCACCAGGGTCTACACAGTGTTCTAGGCTATTTAATTAATACTTATTGAACAAATAAATGAGCAATGTATGATAAATGATGATTTTCACACCAATATATTTACAGCGTGATGGTCATTTTCTTTTTAGCTTGCATCAAGAAAAATATGCTTTGGTAAAATTCTGGGTCAATGTTATCCCTTTTTCATAAAGGGCTGACTTAGGGAGGCAACACAGTACAGGGTAAAAAGCAATGGATGGTGGTTAGGAGACTAGGGTTTCAATATCAGCTCTGCCACTAACTTGCTGTGTGTCCTTGGGTAAGTCACTTAACTATTATAGATCTCACTTTCCTGGTATGTAAAATGAGGGGGTTGAACTATATAAACTCTGTGGCCTCTTTTAGTTCTAAAGAGTTATGTTTCTAGTTATTGTTTATTGATAGCATTCCGAAGGCTTGGGTTCAAATCCACTGGTTTACCTGTATTACTGGGCAATTCACTTAACCTAATTGGGTTTATATTTCATTACCTATATAAGAAGGAGGTTGGATTAGGTGACCTCTCTAGTTCCTTGATAGCAGGTTGTAGGTCTCTAGAGTAACTCTGGGAGGTCTAACTTGGCTCTAGGTTAGGAAGATACTTGAGAGTTCTTTATTTGCTTTTAGGTAGGCCAGAGGTCCATTTTAGATTGAGATCCTCTTGCATCCAATATACAGTAAGCCTGAACTCCGGGGTTAGCCTTGGAATCAAGCTCTCTGATCTCCCTTGAGACTTGGGACTAGGAGTGGCTTAGTGGATCTGGCCACAACTCTTAAGATTGATCCATTCAAGCAGAAATCCCCTAGACTAGGGCCTGCAGGCTACATCTGGTAGGCTGTAGTTTGCTGACCCTGTCAAAGACTCTTGTTATCTTTTCAAGAACCAGAGTGGCTTTTGTGGCTGAGCAGATTAGGAGGCATCTGCAAAGGTGAACTCTTCTCAGTGCTGGATTCTTTAGCCCACATCTCTTGGGATGATATCTTCTAAATTCAGAATAAATGGAAAGGCATTTTAAATATCTTGCATTGACAGCACTATTACCAATCTTTGAAAAGAGACAAAAACCCAAAGATGAGCAAGGGTTGATAGAGTTGATATAAACTATTGAAATATTTGTTCTAAGGTAGAAGTTCTTAACCTGGAATCTTTAGACCCTCAAGAGATCTGTGGATATATTTCAAGGAGTCTGTGAACTTGGATGGGAAAAATTCTATCACTATTTTCACTAACTGAAATTAAGCATTTCCTTTGGTTATGAATTTTAATAAATAATGTGGTTCTGAAAAGGAGTCTTCTCTAGACTTCTAAAGGGGTCTAAGACACAGAAAAGGTTAAGAACCTCTAGTCTGAAAGACATGTAGATAAGAACTAGTACCTACTTCTCTCCTCTCTGATGTTTTCAAGTTTGACAAGGTTACACTATACCTTTGGAATATTTACATTGGGTTGTTGTTGTTGAGTCCTGTCCAACTCTTTGTAACCCCATATGGCATTTTCTTGGTGAAGATATTGGAGTGGCTTGCCATTTCCTTTTCCAGCTCATTTTATAGATGAGGAAACTGAAGCAAACAGGGTTGGGGTGACTTACTCAGAGTCACACAGCTAATAAGTATCTGAGACCATATTTGAACTCAGGAAGATGATTCTTCCTGACTCCAAACCTGGCACTCTATCCACTGCATCACCTAGCTACACCCTGCTTTGGGTAGAAAGCTTGCAAATGAGACAGACTTATTACTGAAAGACATTCTCTACAGTAGGCTTACAGCATTATGATTTGCAGTGACTAATTAGAAACAGAAGCTAGGTGGCAGAATGGAAATATAATTGATGAATCTCAAATTTATCTTTTTAATTAGCAAAATGCAAAGTGGTCATCACCTACAACCAAGGAGTCCGAGGAGGACGGATCATCGAGCTGAAGAAGATAGTGGATGAAGCCGTGAAGAACTGTCCAACCGTTAAACATGTCTTAGTAGCTCAGAGAACAGACAACAAAATCCCTATGGGGAAGCTGGATGTTCCTCTTGAAGAAGTAAGTTCATTCAATGTCAGGGTTTCTGGATTGTTTTTTTTTTCTTCTTTCCCAGTAATTGATTCCCAATAAAGTATTAACTGATCACAGCTTAATGTTACCCTAACATGAAGGTTTTATGTTTTCACTGGGGATTCTGGATGGAGGTATCTAGCTACAGGGAAATTCATAAGAATTGTAATCCCTAAGCAGGACTTTACCTTTGCTCTGCAATTGTGATACAGTGGAAAGAATACTGGATTTGGAGTTGGAAGACATGAATTCAAATCTTTGCTTTTCCATTGGCCTCTCTGTATAACTTAGGGCAATTTACTTAACTTCTCTGGGTTTACATTTCCTTATCTGTGTAAGAAGAGGGTTGCATCAGATGACCTCTGAGGTTATTTCTGGCTCTAAGTCTATGGTCCTAAATCCATGTATCAGTGCTGATTTACCTGCAAATAACCTTTACCTTTGTAATAGAAGGACTGGTAAATGAGAACTCAGTCCTGGCCAGGGCTCTCTATTGCAGCTCTATGCACTGTCACAGCCTCTATGAAAGTAGCAATTTTAAAGCTGAAGAAGATTGGTCAGCAGAATGTGTTGCCATTTTAATAACTTATTTTGAAAAAGGCTAGAGGTGATCAAGAAAGGCACTGTGTTTCCAAGGACATTTGGGAAGGAGGAGGTGATCGATGGTCTTTTTGTGGGTGGAAATTCTGTGGCTACACGGTTTTTTGGAAGCTATATGTTACTGACTATTTAATTCAGGTTCTCTATGTACTCTTGTTTTTGGATAACATTACACTGATTGCAATGAGTCCTACAACAATTTTGGACTGCCTGAATGACATCTAGTTATTAAAAAGTTATAGCCTTGCCTGGTCAGACACATTGGAAAATCAAAGTGGATGAAAAATGCATATTGCATATAGTTGGATAGGCAGCCAACTGAGTGCTGCCCAAGGGCACTAAATGAAGGTGTAGGAGTAATATGTGTTCGTACTTGATAGCTTAAGAAATTCAAGTAGGAAAATTTTATTTGTGACATCTTTGTTCCACTTTACTGAATTTCTATGACACTTTGGCAATGAGAAACTGAGCATAGCATTCTTTTTTTTCAACATCCTACCAATTTTTGATAAAATTGAACTCTGGAGAAACTTAGAGTTATTGGAGGGCATTATATTGTACTTCAAACTCATGAAATATGTCAGATAGTGTTCTGAATTCATTGTTCTAATCTTGAGTTATATTCAGAAGGTGTAAGCCAGTTAGCAACATTGAATTGAGTGATCAAAGATGTGTAGAATACTGAGGTGAGAGCTAAAAAAAAAAATGAAGAAGGTCCAGGCCTTGCCCTCGAGGGGCTGACAATCTGGTTGCAGAGACAACACGAACATATGAAAAATATGAAGCAATGCTTTCAATACAACATACTGTGAGAAATGATTATTTCTCTCTGGTATTAATAACTAATTATTGTATTAGGACCAACATTTTTTTCCCTTTTCTACTTCCTCATCCAGAAATCAACTCGTGTGGAAAATTTTTCTAAAAGACACAGGCTAAGATCTAGTCAGGAAGTAAAAGAAATTCTAAGTTTGCCCCAATGGCTGCATTTCTGCTCATTGTGTTTGCTCAGACAGGTTTAGGAAACCGTGGATCTAACAGACAGGTGATGGAAACTAATAAGTCTCTTTGACCAAGATTTAGGTGATCCAAGTCACGTATCCCAAGACCCTCATTATGATATAGCTCAGCCCCTCATTGTAATATTCATTTTCTCATTAATTTTTAACCACTCAGAGTTGATTGCCATCCTCAGGAACACCTATCTTTTCAGGGGCATATAAACTGTAACCCCACTGTGATTAGGGGTCTTTGGTCTAAGAGAGATGGCCAAATAACATCCTTTTATTAAAATGCTGGCATTATTAATAAAATGATAAAATTACCCATAAATTATGTCTCTTGAACCTTTTTAAATGCCACAGTACAAACATGTAGATAACATTTGCTAAATGAATGAGTGCTGAGAGGGCATGAGATAAAGAATAACTGAGATGCTTATTGGTAGAGATGACTTCTAAGCTCATTTATAAAGGGACAAGGAAAGACATGGATTGGTGCAATGGGAGAGTAATTCAGACAGTGGGAATGATAGGCATCAAGGCATCATGTGGAATAGTAGATTGATTTCTTCTGTGATTTTTTTTTTTTTGGTAACAACAGCTTGCATTTATATAGTGCTTTAACATTCACAATGCCCTTTCTTTCCTCAGAACAATCCTTTGAGGTGGCAATGAAAGTATTATTCTCATTTCATAGATGAAGAAACAGGTGCTGAGAGGTGCAGTGACTTGCCTAAGGTCACATAATTAAGGGTCCAAAGCAGGATTTGAACCCACTTTCCCTGACACCAACTCCAAAAATTTTTTCCACCATGGCACATTGCCTCTCACTGGTATTTATATAGCACTTTAAGGTTTACAAGATGCTATCACATTTGTTGACAGCAACTGCAGTTATTATTAACTCATGTTACAGATGACAAGACTGAGCCTCAGGTAAATTAAATAACTTGCTCGTGGTCATACAATTACTATGGGTCAGAGGAAGGAATCCCACCCAGATCTCTCCTGACTCCAAGGCTCCTCCCACTCCTTGAGCCCTGCTGAGAACTTTGATCACTAATGAGATGCCAATTTCAAAGAAGCCAAGATGGCAGATGCCAGATCTAGGAGAGAAGCTGGTAACTTCCCTGTGTAATTCCTTTTATTTTCTCTGTCTTGTCAGGAGATGGCCAAGGAGAATCCTGTGTGTGCTCCTGAAATCATGGACAGTGAAGACACACTCTTTATGCTTTATACTTCCGGGAGCACAGGCAAGCCAAAAGGGCTTGTCCACACCCAGGCTGGTTATTTGCTTTATGTTGCCGTAACACACAAGGTATTGATTGCAGTCCTATTATGTATTGAGAAAGAAGACAATAATCACTGATTTTTGTGGCTAAAATGTTGTTTGCTGCTGTTAATTCTTCCATAACCTGACACGATGGATAGAACTGAGTTAAGTTTATGAATACTCAGCTGCAGATCAAGAACCAATATAACTGTTGAATAATCTCTGCCTACCCCTACCCCCCAGCCATGTTCCATACCCTTCTTGGTGTGTAAATTCCATCTACCGATGCACATATCTGAAATTGATGAACGTCTTAGTGCCTGACTGAGGCACTGACAGGTTACATGGTCACATTGCTAATCAGAATTCCTGAATATGAGTGGCTGTCTGTCTGCTATACCTCACTATCTCTCAGGCATTTCAAAGCAAATATATCATCTTCACATATTTTCTTACCTCGTCCTCACAACAAGAAGAAAGGAAGGAAGGTAACAAGCATTTATTAAGTAACTATGATGTGCCAGGCACTTTACAAATATTATCTTCCCAATAACCCTGGGAGGTAAGTAATGTTAGTATTTCTATTTTACAGTTGAGGAAACTGAGGCAAACAAAGATTAAGTGACTTGGCCAGGGTCACATAGTGTCTGAGGTTGGATTTGAACTCAAGTTTTCTTGAGTACAGGTTCAGTATTCTAATTATTATGCCACCTAGTTTTCCCTGGCATTATTCTCCCTGTATGACAGATGAGGAAGCAGTCTTAAGGAAATAAAGTGACATGCCTAAGATCATACAGCTAGTTAATGAGAGATCTGGAAGTAGAATTCTTGTGTTTTGATTCCTAGCTGCTTGTCCTTTCAATGGTACCAAACCAGTGGTGTGAATTAAGACTGGTTCCAAGATCCTGATACTTGGAAATCAGATTGTGATGATGTCTGAATTTTAATGAAAAAAATATGATGCCCATATACTCACATTGGATGCTTCATCACTTTGAGATTGAGGAATGTGATAAGGGCAAAGGAAAGTGTGGAATGATGGATTATTTTAAAGATACTGCAATGATAATGCTTGTGACATCTTTGGATGTAGCACTTTGTAGTCTGCTAAGGGCTTTCAGGGATGCTTCTCATTGGGTCCTCCTAACAACTCAGTAACATAGGCAGGAGAGGTATTGTCTCCATTTTCATAGGTGAAGAGACTGAGGTTCAAAGACTTGTCTATGCCCAGGACATAAACTCAAGTCTTCTGGCCAAGACTTTTCCCATTATCCCACAAATTCCATAATGCTTTTCTAAAGTCACGTTGATAAAGGCAGCATGGTGCGTCATGTAGAAGGGGTTAGAATCCAGATAATAGGTCCAGCTTTGTCACTAGTTCTATGACCACTCTGAGCCTCAATGCCCTCATTTGCAAGAGGAAGAGCTTACACTAGGTGATTGCTCAGGTCACCTTTATCTTTAGCATTCCAGGATTCTTAAACAAAATTGAATTGATTAGCTCGTTCGAAAAACTTAAATGTAGCACATAGTAACTACTGTAATTACATGTAATATAGTAATTACATTCCATACTAGAGTTGGACTTGTATCATTTTGCAAAACAATATGGAGAGTTTAATTAAGTCTGTTTATTTTAAGAACTTAAAATTCTATATTTCTTTTAATGTGGGGGAGTTATTATAGTATCCTTTACCATTATTAGGTGGGAAGCCATATACCCCATGTAGGATATCTTTTTTGGGGGGAGGGAGGAGGTTGGTGCATATCTGTGATATCTTGGTGTGGAGAACTCCTGGTGTGGAAATTCCTTCTACCATGCAGATTTAGACTGAATTATCCTGGACACTAAGAGGTTAAGTGATTTGCCTGTGGTCACATAATTAGTATGTATTAGGGGCAAGATATGAATCTTGGCCTTCTCAATTCAAGCAGCAGGATTCCCTCTCCCCTCCCCAAACAGTTTTAACAGTAGGGAAATGAAGGAACAAATCCTATGCCATGGCAATTATTCTCATTCACCTCTATCTCTAATGCTCAGGTTTTCTCTCCAGTTACCTATCATGGGCTCTGTTTTTCTCTTCATTGCTGGACCCACTTCCCCTCTCTGCCCCTCTCTCCCATCTCTGTTGGAGTCCTCTTTTCCCTCCAAGGGTTTCACTATTTTCTCCCATCATCCCAGAATGTTTCTTCTAGGGTTTCTTTGTTCTCACAAGCACATGTAATTCATTTCAAGGGCAGTTACGGGTGGCTTGCCACTCTTCTCTATTTTATATTTTCAAAGTGCTGCTTTTGTCCTCTTCACTTAATAGATAAGAAAAGGGAGACCCAGATTTGTTAACCAAGTTTGCACAGGTAATGACAGAATTCAGATCCAAACTCGGGACCTTTGACCCCAAGTCCAACATGCTCTGTAGGCTGTTGATGGAGCAATTAACATTTTTGTTGGATCTCTGTCCAGGTCTCGACCTTTTCCAGATAAAATCATTGGGCTGATCTAGTAGTGCAACAATTGGTGTCAAAGGTTAGGGTGTGGGAGAAGGGATTGGGTCATCAGTTCCTTCTGTGAAAAACTTCATGTACTCCAAAGGTACTGACAAAGGAGAGCCTAGTTCAGGGTTTTTCTTAGAATCATCTGCAGATGCAGTAAGCAATCCTAGGTCCCATGACAAAGGTGTGGGAATGTATACCCTGAAGTGATATTAAAGTCTTCTTCCTTTGAAAACTCTATATACCTCTGGAACATTTTAGATATCATGATTTTGTCAGCCCCCTAGACTTTACCTTTGCATAGATAATAAAGTTTTCTCTATTAAAAACACTTACCATCCCTTCAAGTACAAGCATTAAAGAAATCTTTACCACAGTAAGTCCGATTGTGCTTTCTGTCTGGTGAGTTTCCTCGTGGGTATCAGGATTGAGTTTTGGTATTTTGTATTCAGTAGCTGGAGATTCCAGGGATACTAACACAGACCTAAAAAAAAAATATAACACACAAGGCTGACTCTTTGATTGGTTTTGCCAGCTTCTGGGGCTTTTGTTTTCCATCTGGCAAGAGGTGGTGCCAGCTTAATCTGCTAGTGTGATTGTGAGATGAATCAGTGAGAGCAAGATCAGGAAAAAGTTCACAGACTTCGCCAGCACAGCTTATCAAAAATAATCACCTCGTTGATTGAGAGCACCTGCTTTCTCTGAATTCCTTGGGCCACAGGGAGAAAAGACCTCCAGCGAGCTGCGTAGTCACTGTCCTCAAGGCTCTCCACAGCACTAGCAAAGCTTGTATGATTTTAACAACTCCCCAACTGTTTTTATCTTCCACTTTGGTTTCAATTACTGCTAATACTTTTACTGAGGTCATTAACTGCCTTCTGGGAATGATCATGGGACTTAACGTGCTTGGAAAACTGGCTGGCCCTTTGCTCATGCGCTTGATTTTCCATTGGCTCACATTTACATGGCAAATAAGGATGTGCAGAGCACGAGTCATGTTTGCAAATTGCTTTATTTGCAGCTAATATTATCATGATATAAAAGCCAGTGGGGTGTGTTTTATGGGTTCCATGAAGACATGCTGACTCTTAGTGTACCTGATACTGAGTGTACTCAGCTGCAAAGGACAGAATCATGGAGAATGGCGGCCAGAGTAAGAGAAGCATATTGTCTTCTTCTCTTTTAGACTATACTTGGGGCAGGGTGCTCTTTTTACATTTGAAAGGAACATTTGGAAGAGCTAAATCCAATGGTTACTGGTTTTTTTGCCCCAAATTCTCTTATGCTACCGTCATACCTGGGCTAGATTTGTCACCTGGGCAGAAGACAAATAAATAATAATAATAGCTAGCATTGTAAGGTTTCCAAAGTGCTTTACATATGTTAACTTACTTGAGCCTCATAACAAACCTGAAAGATAGGTGCTATTATTATCATCCTTGTTCTCCAGATGAGAAAACTGAGATAGAAAGAGGTTAAGTGGTTTTTTCAGGGTCCTACAGCTAGTGTCTGAGGTAGGATTCAAACTCAGTTCTTCCTGACTCAAAGTCCCATGCTCAATCTACTGAGACACCTAGCTACCTCTATAATGGCAGAGGAATAAAAGAGATGGGGATCACTTAAGTGCAAGGAGTTTATGGGGCATTTTATGAATGAAAACTTTAGGCCTGTCCCTCAGACAGTGTGCACTGGGCTCTTTTTAGCTCCTAGGGCAGCCTCATTAAAAGGAAAGTGCCAGTTGGAGGGATGCTGAGAGTAGGAGAGGCCATCACTTCCTATAAACAGATAATCAGCAGTCAATGATGTTGACACACACACACACATACACATACACACATATATATGTATGTATATATCAATGATGTTGACGTACATACAATGCTGTGAGGTGAAAATACTCAAAAGCATTATGATTTTCCATTTGGCTCAAGAGACTATGCCAGAGCACTGTGAGGGCTCCCTTTAAATCCCACACCTCATCCCTGTACCTCCATTTAGGGGCTTTGCTTGGAGCAACTGTTGGTTTCTCAGGTTCCCACTCAGCTATGCTTCTATTCTTTTTTCTCTAGTAGATCTCACCTCTTCTTGTCATCTTCTACGTCACCTCCTAAAACACGGTGTAAGTGCTTAATAAAGCTTTTCAGAAAGAGGAGTCAGTGGGTTGGGATGGAAGGGATGTGGTAGTGCCCCATTCCTTCCTTTTATGTACAGCATGAATTGTTAGAAAGTAGCCTGAATAAACCAAATTCTAACGCCTACCTTCTACACAAAAGCTAAAGCTGAGATAATAATAAAGGTAACATACAAACTGTGCCTGTGATTTCGTTTGTATAGAGAACTTCCAAGTGAAGAAACTCCCTCTTCCAATACAGGTTGGCACTTTTTAGTTTTAGGGAGTTGTTGAGAGCATTCAAAGGGTAAGTGATTCACCCAGAGCCAGTATGATCAGAAGAGGGATTGGAATCCAGGTCTTCCTGGCTTCAAGGTGGGCTCTCTTTCTCTCAGTATTAAATGGTTCCTTTCTGCAGCAATTGTAACTCATATTTACATAATGTGTTTCATTTTCATAAGAGTTCTACTTAACAACAAGTATACAAAGTGTGTAGTCTAAATCATCTTCTTCTTTTTTTTTGGCAAGGCAATGGGGTTAAGTGACTTGCCCAGGGTCACACAGCTAGTAAGTGTCAGGTGTCTGAGGCCGAATTTGAACTCAGGGCCTCCTGACTCCAAGGCCAGACCTCTATCCAGTGCACCGTCTAGCTACCCTTATTTTCTTTTTACAGATGAGAAAACTGAGCCTCAGGGAGATTAGATTGTTTGTGGGCACACAGGGTGAGTGTCAGGACCAGAACTCGGATCTTTTTGGCTCTTAGTCTAGTGTCTTCTCCAGCATACTACACTGCTTCTCTGTACGATAACATACATCCTAGTGGAGGGGAGGAAGATGGAAAAAATCGGTATTCCCATTCTTTTGCTTTTGGGAAACTGCAATAGGCTTTTTCTATTCCTCTTGTTCCCCTTAAGCCCTACCCCTATCTGTCTCCCTGTCAACATCTCTCAATCTTCCTTTTCCCCCAGTTTCGCTATAAAATATTAGTACGCTAGCTGGAAGTATTGCAGCCTATGCAGAGGATGTTGCAAGTGGTAGAAAGTTCCTCAGGAAATATTGTTCAAAAGAGAGGACATGCTGTTGATGTGAAGCAGTGTGGTATAGTACATAGAACAATGGATTTGGAGTCAGAAAGATTTGAGTTCAAACCTTGCTTTACATTCTCAGTAGGTGTGTGACCTTGGGCAAGTAACCTCATGGGCCTCATTTTCCTCTAATGTAAAAAGAGGGGTTGGACTTAATGGTTTCTAAGTTAGTCTATAATTCTATGAGACTTCAGCATAATTTGAATGTCTTATGGTCTGAATTAGGTATTTCAGTTCAGTAGAGCATGACATTAGAGTTCAGAGTTTTTAGTCTTGCTGAGGCCTGTTAGCTTCTCCTTCTTGGCCACAGATGGTCTACCCCTAACCCTCGTGACAGATGCCTGTCAAGTAAATGTCATTCCATCACTGCCACCACCATTACCACCACCACCACCGCCAATATTACTACTAACACAGACATTTATCCAATGTCTCTGTAATCATTCTAATTTGAATTGCTTTATTGAACTGGCTTTCCTTTTTTCTTTTTCTTTCTATTTGTACTTTACAAACACAGGATACGAGAAACGATTGTTCCCCTGTGTCCAAAGGACCATTTCCTCATCATTACAATGATAATGCTCATCTTTGAACATCTGTCCTTTTTCCAGCATGTATTTGACATCAGGCAAGGAGATGTATTTGGCTGTGTGGCGGACATTGGATGGATTACAGGTCATAGCTATGTTGTGTATGGTCCACTCTGCAATGGAGCCACCAGCGTCCTGTTTGAGAGCACTCCAATTTATCCCAATGCAGGTGAGATCTTCGTGTCTCCTTTTGGAATCAAATTGTAGAAGCCCACAGAATTCCGTTATCAGAAGAGACCTCAGAGAATATCCAGTCCAACAAATACCTGAGAAATAATGCCCTGAACATGTCTTACAAGTGGTTAGCTTGCATTTGCTCAAGGACATTCAATGGGAGGGAATCAACAGTCTCCCGAGAAGCAGCTGAGGGATGAGGAAAAGCAGTGAGGTTTTACGAACTGCAAAGAGAGGTCAGAAGCATTTGGAGGCATAGTGAGGTTTGGGAAAACAGTGAAAGAAAACTACTATTTCAATTGTAAGAGCAGCAGAGTAGAAACAGCCTGTTCCTTTCCATCCCTCTCCAGCCAGCAAATGAAGGGAACAGTTCAGTGAACCTTGACTAAAGGGAAATAATAAGAATAATGAAACTTAGGCTTGTATAGCATTTTATAGTCACAAAGGTCACGTCCATTATCTCATTTGATCCTCTGTCACCTTGTGAGGTCTGCCGAATAGCTATTATTACCAGTTCCGTTTTACAGATAAGGAAACCATTAGATGCTTAGAAACTATTAGGGGCTCAGAGCTGATTAGGACCAAATAGTAATTTGCAGAGTCTGGATCTGAACATAGGTTTTTATGACTTGATGCTCAGCGCTCTTAACACTGCTCTTGATAAAGCACTAAATAAATACTAACTAGCCATTTAAATATCTTCTTACATAACTGGTTGCTCAAGTCACCGCTAGAACAAAATGTTATTTTTGGTGAACTACAACATTAATATACTTCCCTACTTCAGGAGAAAAATGATACAAAAGCCAATTGTTCATATTTTTGTAACAAAGATAATTCAAGAGTTTTACCTGATAACTGTGTTTGTGAAAAATTGTGGATCCATTTCATTTTTGTAAATCTGTAAACCGTACTTTAAATGTGGCTATTCAAAATATCCCTGTGGTGGATCCTTTTGTTGAGTGGAAAATCTAGATATTCATATTCTAAGTTTTCTTATATCAGGGTTATATCTATAATGATGATTATAATTTTTTTTCCTGTCTCAAGGGCAGCTAGAAACCCCATTTTGTATGTGAATGTTTGTTCCTTCAGATCTTATGGAAAATTCTGCCCATATACTAAGGAATAATTTAAGGCAATATAGTGTACTTTATGGGAGAATCACCAAAATCCTCACAGAGAGATTATTCTTATTTATAACTGTTTTATTAAAATATAAGATAGCTATCATTATTCTCAATGGAACATTCATTCAAACTCTGTTTTTTCAACTAGTTATGGTTATTTGGTGTCAAGAGAAGTTTGTTTCCTAAAAATGTTACCCATAGGGGACTTAGTGTTCTTGGACAATAGGAAGATAATAATATAGTCTAAGATTTGTAACTTTGCTCTGAGAGTATGTTAAATCACCCTTAAACAAATGAAAAAAAAGACTTCTGAAAGCACTGTATAGCTGGTAGCTACTGTTTTGTCATTTAGACATGTTTAGAGTTATCAATACCATACTGTGACATGTGGGAATGACAATGAATTTGGGGACATTCTGTAGGTCGATATTGGGAGACAGTACAGAGACTGAAAATTAATCAATTCTATGGTGCTCCTACTGCTATACGGGTACTATTGCATTATGGAAATGCTTGGGTTAAGAAGTATGACAGATCTTCCTTAAGAACCTTGGGATCAGGTAAGACACACATTTGCTTATGTTAGAAGAAATCTGAGGTATGATTTTTCTTATTAATACACTTAGGGAATTTGTAAAATACAGTATAACTGGAAAAGCAACAGAAAATATAGATTTTGCATTTTGGATTACAATCATTTCATGAAGAGGGAACATGTTTTATAGGTATGCTTGAATGTTATGCTTAGAAAAAATATCATGTAGTTTTTGGAGAACATTGGGTGACATTATTCTTGCCTCATGGTTGATGTCATCATTAATCAACATGCTATGTGCTGGGCACTAGGAATACAAAACAAAGAATGAATAAATGAATGAATGAATGAATGAAGAAAATTAAGAACTGTGCTAAATGCTGGGTAGATAAATAGAAGAGAAAGACAGTCCTTGCACTTAATGAGCTCACTCTCCAATGAGGGAGACAAGACAACACACAGAGAACGTTTCAGATGCAAGACTCAGTATCCTTACAGTGGGTAGGCATTGTCTTTAAGTCATTTGCACCGATCAAATCCCATGAGTTCCCTATGTTGCATCATTTGGACAGAGCCGAGGACTTTGGTGACAAAAACTTTTTCCTCTCCTGAGCTGCTGTTGCTGTGTCATCCTCAGGGCAGTTTTCAGGCATCTCCACACGGGCTGCTTCCTAAGCTATGGAGGATGAACTGGGGCTGGGATTGGGGTTGGGAAGGAAAGGTTTTTGGCCTTATCTGCCTGGGGTGAACATTAGCTGTTGGCTTTGATGGTGGTGAGGAAGATGGGTTCCTTTGCAGCGATTTCTTCCCCCGAAGATTGCTGTGGGGATGGGTAGGACTGGGAGTTTTGGGGGAACTGTTCTTCCCAAGGCTCTTGGCTTTGGGCCCTGGCCTATCTTGAATAGAGTATGAGGGAAGATAGCGGTGATGATGGTAGTTAGACTTACCTTGCACATCCCACATCTTATCTCTCTCTTAAGAGGCCTTTTTGTTTCAACTAGGTTGGCCTGCTTGCCTAATATGTTGGTGGAGATGGCTAGGCCCTTTTCCATAGGGCCTGCTTTCCCAGATGATGGCTGCGGGGGCTGGGCTGGAAGCACAAATGGTGGTCTGGGGGCACTGATATTCCCAAGGCTTTGGGGTCTAGGGTTCTAACTTATAGGAAAGTGGTGGTTGAGGTTACTGAGTGGGGAGTGGAAAAAGAGAGGAGGGAATAGGGAATAAGTATTTATATAGTACCTACTATGTGCCAGGCACTGTGCTAATCACTTTACAAATATTATCTCATTTGATCCTCACAACCCTGTGAGGCAGATGTTACCCCCATTTTACAGCTGAGGAAACTAAGTGACCTCCCAGGGTCACATAGCTACTAAGTGTTGGAGGCTGGTTTTAAACTCAGGGACTCCTGACTCCAAGGCCAGTGCTCCGCCACTATGTCACCTATGCCTCTAGTCAGCTGGTAGTTTGATTCACTTGCCACAATATGTTTTTTGTTTCTCCCTCAGGGAATTTTAGAAACCTTACTCTCAAAATGCTTACATTCTAATGGGAGAGACCACAAATACATATATAAATTTAATGTTAAGGAACAAACTGCTGGGCCTATAATAGGGCTGAGACATTGTACTCATCTCCTTTCCCTACAAGGGCCCCTCTGCTCTGCACACAGGCATGAGGTCTGGATGAAGTCCAGTCCTGAGGGTGGTATATGATCTTTAATGAGAGAGGGGGTAGGCTCCATTTTCTCACACTCTGGCTTGTTAACCCCATCTCCACTCCCTTGAAATTGACTTACTTATAGCTTAGACTCACATTTAGGGCTTTTCCAAAAGGAGAGAGTAGAAAGGTACTCAATGTACAATATGAATCAAGTATGAGACATGTGTTTATTTCCTATACACAAAAGATAAGCTAAGGCACAAATGACCCTCACAAGTGTGGATTGGCAATCATATTTAAACTAAACAAGAGGCAGTGATAATATTGTTATACCTGGTCAGGAGGTTGATACTTAAATTTATCTAAATCTAAAGCAGTTTGCAGGACTGCTGATTATTTTATATTTCTGCTGCATTTTACATTTCACCTCAGATCTGCACTGTATCCCTCAAAGTACATGTCTTTTGGCAAGCCAGGTCAGGGTTTGGACTTTCCCTATTGTTGGTGACTGACTTGTCTGATGGAAAAGCTTATCTCGCCAGCAATTCGCTTCACTCATTGGGTACAGGACCTCTGAATCTCTCAAACTCACTTGGTGGGACAAGCCTGGTCACACCCACCTGGAGGAAGAGGCTCCATCATTTGCTGAGGAAAGGAAACCCAAAGAAGAGACTAGCCAGAGCTCCATATGTAAGCTTGACTAGATGAGTCTATGCTCTATGTGGGAATGATAGCAAAGTTAAGGAATGAATGCAATGCTCTCTCCCACCTTCTTTATAGGGAGCCGAGAGAAAAGCATACTATCTTCTATGTGGGAGAGTCAAAGTAAGAGATTGAGTAGGAAGCTGTTTCTCCTTTTATGAAGTCCATTCAGTATTGGCTCATCTGGGTCAGCAGCCAATGAGAGGGTTCCTAGATCATTTCAAAGTGACCATATTCTTCAGTGCTGAGCCACCACATGGTTGGAAGCACTTAGGGAATTTGTTATCTCCAATGCATCCAAATGCTGAGTCACCATGTCCCTCGAATCCCCAGAAATTTACAGGTGAACTCCAGGCACACGATCCCTGTGATGGCTCATATAGGATAATTTAATCTCTGCTGCATAATTAAATATAGAATAAATTTAAAAAGAATGTCATTGTTCAATTGTATCTGACTCTTTGTGACCCCATTTTTGGGTTTTCTTGGCAAGGATACTGGAGGGGTTTGTCATTTCTTTCTGAAGCTCGTTTTATAGATGATGAAACTGAGGTAAACAGGGTTAAGAGACTCGCCCAGGGTCACACAGTTAGTAAGTGTCTGAGGCCAGATTTGAGCTCAGGAAGGGGAGTCTTCCTGATTCCAAGCTCAGTGCTCTATCCACTGTGTCACCTAGATGCCATAAATTAAAAAAGAATAAATACAAACAAGCATAAAGTAGTGAAATAACAGGTAGTTAGGGAGGATGGGCACTAGCAGTTTGGGGGAATCAGGAAAGGCCTAATGTAGAAGGTTACTGAATTATTATAATATGCTAAAGCCTTTGAATGATTGCTTCTTTAAGGGGAACCCATTTCTAAGACTCTTTTGTAAAAACCTGTGTTTTATTTTGACATTATATTATCCGTTTTACCTAAATGCTTTTTAATGAGAACTCTCAGGAAGTAGGCATCATCTATAAATGTTTGTAGTCACCTCATTTGAAAGTGCATGTAGCATTTCACAACTGTAGTGTCCCCTCCTCACAACCACCTTGGCTCAGGGGAACTTATTTTCTTTTTTTCTGTCAAGATGAGAATGGAAGCCAAAAATCAAGGACCTGATTGTTTCTGGTCCTTGATTTTTGGCTTCCATTCTGATTCTCTGCTTCCTCCCATACACAGTCCTGTCTTTTTTTTTTTTTTTTTTAAATCTGACCTGTGCTTTAGTCTCTGTTCCTGTATTTTCCCGTGGCTTGATCTTCCAAATTCTGTTGCCGTCTCCCTCTTCCTCTGGACTCCCCCTGCACAGCTGTGGTTGATCATTAATCCTGAACCTCTAGTCACTACGCTGTAGATCATGACAGGGTTTCTGCAGCCCACCTTCTTTTGGGCCATATAGATAGTCCTGCCAGGGGCTTGAGTGTGGGGTCAAAGATGAGGACCATATTTTTAGATTTTTGACATTTAGCAGATTAATTTCATTTTATTTTGCCCGTGGGGGAAAGGCAAGTGACCCAAACTCAAAATTGTTGCAAGTAAAATTCAACAAAGGTAACCTGAGGCAATTTTCTCCAAGCAAGATAACATTTTATTAGTAGGGCACAAATCTAACTCCGACATTTAGATCTCTATCAACAGAAAAGGTCTTTGACTCAGTTTCTAGGCCAAAGACCCTGAACTTAAGACTTAACTTGCTTTTACAAGGTTCAAACAAATAATAGAACAGGGTAGGAGACATCATAGAATTGAGGACAACATGACTAGTTATATACCTGAGACAAGGGGAACAATATGATTGGTTGGAAGTTGGGAATCGAGAGGCTAGCAACAACCCCTTCCTTCCTTCCTGTGACTAAGATGTGTTCGTTGTTTGAGTCCCCCTGCAAGGTTAAAAGATAGTGAGTGGGTCAGAATTCTTTGGACAGTAAACCACACAACCTTGAAGGATAGCTTGGTGGTGTAAAGATACTAGACCACACTCCCTGGTATCCGCCTAAATCCCCCATAACAGATTTTCTTAAGGCAAGAATAGAACAGTGGCTAGCAGAACTGAGTTTCTAAACTTAACTCCTAACAGACCAGCTGAATTTCTGAACTAAGTTTAGAGAAAAGAATTGTAACTTGGGCAGTTACAGGACAAAAACAGTTAATTGTAAATAGGATCAATAAAAAATGATACAGAATCCTGTTAATCTCCTTAAAACCCAAATTTTAGAATTTTCACATTGTTCTCTTTTACTGTTTTGGTTTCAGTGGGAGAACCAATTAACCAAGAGGCCTGGGAATGGCTCTACAAGGTGGTGGGAGATAGCAGGTGCACAGTAGTAGACACCTGGTGGCAAACAGGTAACAAAGCATCATGACTAACAGTGTGTCATGATATGACTAGGATTAGTTTGATAGAGAAAGCAGTGAGTTTAGTGCTCACAGCACAAGCGTCTGTACTTTAGTCCCTCCAAAGAGTAAGGATTTTTTTTTTTAGGTGCTATTTAAATACCCAGGTGGATTTTATAAGGATGGTCCTATTTTTTTAGAAGTCTGTAATACTAAATCTTTAACTCCAGTAGGAAAAGTTTTGTTATTCAGTTTTTCACCTTTAACGAACATAGTTTCCCCCTTCTCTTTTATATATTTGAATCAGTGTTAGGGCATCCTTTGCAGAAGACCATTTAAACATGCTGAATGCAGCTAACGGAAATCACCAATGTGCTACAAGTTCATCCGAGCAGAGATGAAGCCAGATTGGTGAAGAAACAGAGTTTGAATGGACAATAATCCCATCAAGTTCAGAATTGCAGGGGCATTCTAATTCTATGTAATCAGAGTAATTTAGTTTTGCAAAACACTTCATACAGATTCTGCAAAGCGATATAAAAATGAGTTAGGGTGAGAAATTGTATATGATATTCTTGTTTATACACATGTGTGTGTATGTATGTCACATGCTTATGTGTATTGCACTTGCTGTTGAATAAAAGGCACCATTTAATTCTGTATTATGTCATAGGAAGACATATACAAATTTTAAAATGCTGCCTTGCCCCTTAATGAATTTAGCTTTTCTCTGACAAACGCAGGAAACTATAGAGTCATCAGAAAAACTCATAAAACTCACAAAAACTCATATAATTGGGACTCATCTGGGTCATTGTACCACAAAATTTAATTTGCTTTCTTATATCTCTTAATTTTCCCAGTATATTGGTTAGTTTTCTTTCTTAAACATATAAATCCAGAAAATTCAAATCCTAAACTTGCTTTGCAGTTGTGTAATCACCATGAATCTATAAAATAGGGATAATTCTACATACTCAGAAGTTTGCAGAATGGATAAATGAGATAGTGTGTGTAACATTCTTTGAGCCCCTTAAAATCAATTCTAGATAAGGACAAAATATCACTTGTCCCCTATGCTAAACTTACAATTTTCCTTACTTGCATATTCTTTATATAGAAACAGGAGGCATTTGTATTGCTCCTCGGCCTTCTGAGGAGGGGGCTGAGATCCTCCCTGGTATGGCTATGAGACCCTTTTTTGGAATTACTCCAATTTTGGTGAATGAAGAGGTGAGTTTAAGTTCCACTCAAATCTCATTCATGTTATAGACCTCCTCATGTTCATACTGATCTTGCTCAAGCCACAAGATCTGAATGTACTTGTGCTCTGCCAGCTGCACTGTTTTCTCATTGTAAAATACTAATTAGGGGCTTAGAACTCTGATATTTAGATCTCTGGCATCTGTAAAATCTCTTTCATTGTTGTTCCCTAAATATTTGTAACGGTGCATGGGGGAAGGGCAGGCACCAGAGCTGCACACAATCTCAGGGCTTGGGAACAGTTGGGACCCACTAGCCTTTTCTTCCCAACATCTGTTCTCCCCACACTTCATAACTCAAGGTTCGTATTAAATTTGTTTTCTACCATAACTTCCAGATAATTTTTTTAGATGAACTACACACTCCAACTCAAACACCAAGTTGCTAGATCTCTTACTACCCTGCTCACCTAACATGAGATCACTAATATCAAGACAATGTCTTGTAGCTTTTTTAAAAGTCCAACAAGTAATGGACAATTATTGGCAGCTTCAAGTCCCCTTTGTCTTCCACGCACAGCCTTTCGGGGCAAATGTTCCTATAACCTAACACTCAGAGATTGTACTTCAGTGAAATACCCTCTTCTCCAATTTCCCCTTGGTCTAGCCAGCCCAGTCCAATCCTTTCTGTATTAGAAAAGAGGCTGAGAATTCCTCCAGCCCCTAGTTAGTATTAACATGGAATTCATGTGATTTCACCATAATATTTCACACCCACAACAGGCTCTTGTCCTTCTGTTAATATATAATGTATGTTATAATAGTATTTAGTAATGATATGCCCCTCAGCGTTCTTTCAGGTAAATGACATTGTCATCTGCCTTAGATTTAAGTCTTCTAAAGGGCAAAGACAATATTTCTTTAACTTGTTTCATATAATGCCTGGCATGATGCATTTGATAGTGTACTTGATAATAATTTCCAGTCTGGGGAGAGGTTCCTACCAGAAATGAAGAGTCAAAAGGAATTCTTTTTGGGGGCAGGTGCTTTTCATTCTCTGCCTCATATCAAACAACCAAGAAAAAAATACTGACTGCAAGCTTCTTCTTTAGCTCTTCAAATCTCTACCAGGATCTGTTTTCTGATGAGCCTTTTTGTATTTTTTTTCTTTTTTGGATCTTCTGATTTTTAGGGAAAAGTCATAGAAGGTGATGATGTCTCTGGTGCTCTGTGTATTACTCAGGCTTGGCCTGGCATGGCAAGGACAATATATGGAGATCATCAGAGATTTATTGATGCATACTTCAAAGTTTATCCAGGTAAGAGTGTGTAAGTGAATAACTTGGTATAGTTTAGGGATGTGACAAAATCTCAGCTCAGCAAAATATTGATTTCTTGTTTTTCAGAAAGCGCCAATGAGCCAAATCTAAGCTTCTAAAAGAAAGAGCCAGGAAATAATTATGGAAAATATAAATTAAGGCAGGAAATTTTCATCTTATGTTATTGGGTTTAAAACTGAAAAGACGATACATACTAGCTCGTATTTCTTTTAGAAGGAATGATGTTTATTTTATGTTTTTCATTCAAGGATCTTAGAATGCTTCAGGAATATTAATTGAGCCTTATTTTCTTCGTCACCTCTAAACAAACAAATATTGAAACACTTCAATATTCCTAAGATCTGTAATTTTATTAGTGGAGGCACTCCAATAACGCAATGCAGATTGCAACATCCTATAACTTAGTAGACAGTTCCCGTGGCTGAAAAATCCATCCTCTTGAAGTCAACCTAGTGATAGAACTTCTCCAGGCTTACCTAGGCTGGTCCTTGGACAGGTCCATCTCTGGGACTGAACTTCAAGCATTTCTTGCTTGTTAGGACCTGCTGGAGTTTATATGGGTCTTGGCAGAGGTAGTGGAGTGGTTTGCCATTTCCTTCTTCAGCTCATTTTACAGACGAGGAAACTGAGGCAAACAGGGTTAAGTGACTTCCCAGGGTCACACAGCTAGTAAATATCTGAGGCTTGATGTGAACTCAGGAAGATGAGTTTTCCAACTCCAGGCCTAGCACTCTATCCACTGTATCACCTATTGTGGGTGAGTTAAGGTGAAATCATATGAATTCCTTGTTTATACTTCCTAGGGACCGGAGGAATTCTTAGCCTCTTTTCCAATAAGGAAAAGATTGCTACTCTATTAACTGTGTAACTTTGAGCAAATCACTTAAAATCTCTGGGTCTCTGTTTTCTTCTCTGGGATAAAGGAGTCAAATCTGCTGATCTCCTGGGTTCCTTATAGCTCTAAATCCTACAAGAATGACTTTTAAAAAAACCCACCCTTCATAAGCTGGGTTGTGAAAGAACATGGCATTCTAGACAGAAGTCTCAAGATTTTCACTGGGAGAGGGGGAGAAGATGGGAAAGAAGTGCAGTAGGAAAAACATTGCACTAGGGAGTCAGGAGACCTGTGTTCCACTTCCAGCTGCGACATTGACCAAGGGCAAATTATTTCCATCATCTGAGCTTTAGTTTCCTCATCTTTGTAGTGAGGAGGTTAAACCAGGTGATCTCTATGGTCCCTTCCAGTTTTAATTCCTGTGAGAAAAATGATCATGCATTAAATAATCTCAGTTATAATTTGTTTTTAAAATGTGTATATTAACTTTAATAAACAAAATACTAGCGAATGTGAACTCTTGCTTCCATGTCCCCTTTTGTTATACTTTTCTATGCATTTCACTTTTTTGGCTGTTTTGATCTTAGCCTTTAATTTCTAAATCATTTACCATATTTTCTAGACTAATGATTCCAGGGATGATTCAGTTTGACCATTGGAATTTTTGTTTTCAAGCAGAAAGAAGTCACTGAATTGGGTCACTGGTAACTCTGGCAGGACCTTTCTCAGGGCCAAGGTCAAGTTTGCATTTACTGATACTAAACTCTTTTATCATACCAGGTTATTATTTCTCTGGAGATGGTGCTTATAGAACTGAGGGTGGATATTACCAGATAACTGGGCGGATGGATGATGTCATAAACATCAGTGGTCATCGGCTCGGAACTGCAGAGATTGAAGATGCAATGGTAATTCACAAAGAAAAGTTCTCATTTCCCTAATTGCCTCTTCTGCAAACACTGCATAGCACCTCATTTCTTTATATTTTGTAATAGGGGGGTGGGAGGCAGGTGTAATGGTATCAAAATTGGTGATGTAGTTAATCTTCTGAGTTTGGTTATTTATCTAGTCTCATATGTTCTGTTTTTCTTATCTCTCTGTATTATCAGGCTAACCATCCTGCTGTGCCTGAATCAGCAGTGATTGGCTATCCTCATGACATAAAAGGAGAAGGTGAGTGTTAACAAAGAGATAATTTACAAATGATTCTAATTTCATATACAAATTGGGGAAGAACATTGAAAATAGAAGTCCCTAGGTGCCACAAGTTCTTTTCTCTCTAAAAAAAATTTACAGGCAAATATCATTTGAAATAAAAGGCAGGCGTTCTATGTAGTAAGAAATTTCTGAAACTGACTCAGTATAAATGTGTATTATTGGAGGATGGTACTACTGGAGAAATGAATGTCTTTTGAGGATCATTGGAGGGGAAGTTATACCCTTTTCATGTCCTCGAAATGCTCATGAAAGGAGTCCATGACATTTCTTCTCCCCAAGTCTATTTACCATTCTGTCCTATGGTAGAGTTCCAAAAATTTCTTGGTTTATGGTTCCAAAAGAAAGGCCAAATACCCAAAGGTCTGTATTAGTGTTTCCTTCAAAAATTAAAAATATCCCAATGACCTCTCGTGAGTTTGCTGATGTGTGCTAATTTGACCATGGATAGAATAGTAAAGATAAAAAAAAATGCCCACCAAGGGATGTCAAGTTGCTAAGTGTGCCCTATGTCGGGGTAGGGAACCTGCAGCCTTGTAGATCTTTAACTGTGGCCTTTTGACTGAATCCAAATTTCACAGGACAAATCCTAAATTGTTTTGTAAAATTTGGATTCAGTCAAAAGGCTGCATTTAAGGACCTAGAAGGCCACATGTGGTTTTCTCTTGTCCTTTTTGCTGCTTCCCAAGCATAATAGCTATCATTTTATAGTATCTCTGAATATTCTTTAAGCAAAAACCTGTTAAGGATCTTTTCCAATGATATGTTTGGTTATTCATATGTTTTGGGCTTAAGTCTTACTTACAGAAGAAATTTTCCAATCTGGCCCAGGTAGTTAGTAGTTGCTTGTTGCTTTATAATTTTGTATCTCTCTTTTCTATTCTTGAGCCTAGTTTGGCTGTCAAGAAGATTTCTACTGTTCTCCAGCTTTGTTTCTTCTTATAATGTGTTAGGATAGTCAACTGTTGGAACATGAGGCTGGCATTCTTTTTTATTTCATTCAGAAAATTTTTATTGAATGCCTACTAGGCCCAGAACCAAAATATAAATAGTGTATGATAAGTATCATACACGAATGCTATAGCTAACAAATGCTATTGGAGTTTGTAGGTTTAAGAAATTACTTTTTTGTGGGGTAGCCTGCCATGACTTCTTGTGGGAGATGAAATTTTGTGTTGGGCTTTGAAGGATGAATAGAATTTTGCTAGGCAGATGGTGGGAAGAACAATAAAGAATCATAGAGTTCATATGAGCAAAGACACAAATCCAGGAAAATACAAGGTATTCTTACAGATTTGTGAATAGGTTTGTGAAACCAATTATTTGGTTGGTATATAGAGCTTGTGAAGGGGAATAAATAGGGTTAAAGATGCAAAGATTTGGCAGCAAGTCTCAGAGGGTCTAATAATGGTCAGCTCAAGCAGTTTAGACTTCAGGAAATATGAATTTTAGTCCCAGTTCCATGTTACCTTGGACCTTGGGTAAGTTACTCAGCCTCTCAAACTCTCTGAATCTCAGTTTCCTCATCTATAAGACAGGACAATATGTGTACTGCTTTCTTCATAGGCCAAGTATGAGTAAAATAACTGATAAATCACTTTATAAACGTAAGCTACTATTATCTATAAATGGTGTTTTATTTTCCCAACACTAAAACCTCTTTGGTATATTGGATAATAGGCTCAGCCCCTTGAGCCTATCTCTTGAGGTCTTTCTTTTCTTTCTCCCTTACTTCAAATACCAGTAAGGTTTGTTTTCAAGTAGAATATATTCTTCAAAGGATTTTAGAAGATCAGTAAAGACTCTTTTTTTCATCCCTACTCAAGAAATCTTACACATTAGCTCCCTTGTTGCCCAATGATTATCAGGAAACTTAACAATAAATAGTATATTACTCCCTTACTCAACAAACAGCAATAAATTATTGCCTTCAGGATAAAATCTGAGTTGCTTGTTTTTTTTAAAGGCCTTTTTCAACTAGGTCTCAACCTGTTTTTCTGCCTTCAGTATATGTTACTTCTTTTCTCACACTCTATAGCACAGCCAAACAGGCATTCTCTTCTGTTCCTCATACGTGGCACTCCATCTTCTCCCCTACTCCCCTTCTCTGCACCATTGCACTGGCTACCTCACATGCATAGATTTACAGGGCTTCTTAAACTTTTACTACTGGTCTCGACTTCATATGGGGTCACGACCCATAGTTACAGAATCTGCTCTCTCCTCATGTGTACCTCATAGAATCTCTCATTTCCTTCAGAACAAAGCTCACCTTCTCTACAAAGCCTTTCCTGATCCGAACTGCTGGTGCTTGCCCCAACTACCATGTATTTATTTTGTGTATTCTTATCTATGTACATGTCGTCTCCTTCGAAAGAAGCCAGTAGCAATCATTTCATTCCTTTGTCTGTAAAACTTAGAACCTAGCACAATGTCTGGTATATAGTAGGCACTTCATAAATGATTATTGATTAGCTGATTAAAAATTGTGATATTACAAGCATTGGTGGTTTCTTAACTCCTTTGCCCTATATAACTACATCAATTAGGATGTAAGCTCCCAGAAGCTGACATTCATATGAGGCAATATAGCCCCTGTAAGGACCTTAAAAAGATGGCAAGATTCCTCAGCACCTAGCTGACATCTAGCCTGAAGTCAGAATATTGTGGTACTTGTGCCAAGGAAAACATTACATACATGTGAAATTTATCTATCTACGATTTCTCAGTGTACAGAGATTAAATTTTGGCTGCCAAATAGCCAAGATCTTGGAAATAAAGAGAATTCTTTATCTGGCTTTCATTATGTTGATTCTAAAATCTGGATCCAAATCACCATCTTGATTTACAATATTATTGATGGTTTTTCTTTGAGCTAAAGAAAACATGGTTCTCTGTGACTGATCCATTTTGTTTTGGGATAAATCTCTCCTTTCCCTCGTCTTTTCACAGAAAGAAATTATCTCCCTTCTCCTTTAGACTTCACATAGCGCTTATTCATATTTTATTTGAATCTTCACCTCCTATTAGACTATAAGCTGTACCTCCCCAAGTACCTATCATACTATTCTAAAGAGAGAAGGGGATGAATAAATGCTTGTTGAATGAATGAATACCCCCTTCAGGACCTGAGCATTTGCTTTGGCGACTTGTCAAGAGGTAAGCCCAAAAGGGAAGGAAAGAAGGAGAAGGGTTGGAGGAGAGGTTCATTGACCAGAAATTTAGTTCTGGCCTTGCCTCACCAGAGATATTTTCAGTTCAGGTAATTGGGAATAAAGACAAGGAATCTACTGGATTCCTGGGTATGTGAGCAAAGTGCTTCCTCCATTTCTGTCACTGACCCTTAATTACTCTTTCCTCAATTTCTCTCTCATCCTTAATGCTTTTGCATCCTAGGACAGCAAAAGATCCTTTTCCCCTCAGGATCATTGCTTGCTGGTATCTACTATGATATCATCTTTACAGGTTGTACCCTATATGATGGTCCCTGTACTCTGCCTAGCTTCTGGACTACCCTCCTTCATATTTTTTAGAATAACTCTTTCCCTTCTGTCCCTTTAAATCAACCCAAGCTGTTAAAAGGCAGAGAGAAAAATTCAGTTTTGGCCTACTACAACAAATGAGAATTCATGTCTCTACTTGCCCATACAATTCAACCAGAGTTGAAGAATTGGAAGAATAAATTCTAGAAAGTTTTGTCATATTTCTTTTGAGAAAAATAAAACTGTTGAATATTCTATAGTTGAACATTCCAAGTATCTGTGATTAGGGCCTTCCTGTTAAAATTAGTTCCAACTGTTACACAGGTAATATTTGTTCACCATATATTTCAAAACACAGATAGTTTCCAAAGCATTTTGGGAGTGAATGCTAAGCCAAACTACTTTTGAGATAGTTTTAAAATGGGTACCTTCTAATATATAGTTATTAAAATGTCATATGAATGTGCAGTGATATTACAGAAAGCCACAATAATATTTGAGAATAATTCATAGTACTTAAGATTGTTTTCTAAAATGCATCTTAAGGGTTTGGACTTCCAGGAGCCAAGATGGCGGAGTAAGAAGTAAGTTGCCTCCCTTATTAACCTCTGAAAGCCCAGAAAATATCACCTCAGGAAAAACCCTGGAACAGCTGAACCAGAAGAAAGACAGGGCGCAGCAGTCAGGTAGCCCAGGTAGCTTGAGGGATTAATGGGAAAGGCCCCTCTTCCCCAGGGGGAAGGGGAACAGTATAGATCGGGAGGCATTCCAGCAACCTAGTAGAAAACCCCACCTCAGCATACCAGGAGGAGAGCCTGAAACCCAGGTGGTGGAACAGGCAGGACCAACACCAGGACCCCTGAGTGGCTCAGTGAGGGCAGGGGAACTGGTGGAAACCAACTCAGAAAACCACCAGGTGCCTCAGCATTCCACAGCAACCAAGTCTCTCAGTGTCAGCAAAACTCTGGGAAGCACTCCAAGGGTCCCCAGTTGGAGAAACATCCTGCAACATCCATCTGAAAGGAGCTGAAGAAAGTGAAAGGAAGGAAAGGCCCGGGTGAGCAGGCAACCTCCAAGGGCCACACTACCCAATCCTACCCCTAGAGTTCCAGTGTTGCTGATTCCAGCCCAAGAACCCTATAGCTGACAGAACCCTAAAGCCTCCAACTGCCAGCATTGGAAGCCCCAGCACACAAAGCCAATAACCAGGCCCTGGGCTCCCAACACAAGAAGCTTGGGTCAGTGCCCCCTACTCCCCAGCAGGAGAGCTCAATCTCTTTAAAGGCCAGGAAATAAGCAAACCCCATGAGCAAAAAGAAACGTATGATACATTCTTATTATGGGAACAGTGAAGATCAAGGCAGAAATTCTGACGAGGACAACATTGTCAACAAACCTACATCTGGAACCTCAAAAGGGAATATGAACTGGTCTGAAGCCCAAAAAGCCTTCTTGGAAGAGCTCAAGAAGGATTTTAAAAGTCAAATGAGAGAGGTAGAAGAAAAATTGTGAAAAGAAATGAGAGGTATGCAAGAGAGAGTCAATAGCTTGGAAAAGGAAGGACAAAAATTAACTGTAGAAAACAAGTCCTTAAAAAATGCAGTTGGCCAACTGGAAAAAAAGTACACTGAAGAAAACGAGTCCCTAAAATGCATCTTAAGAAACTTCCTTGTGATGTTTCATTTTTACTTCATTCAATTCAATAAGCATTTATTGAGTGACTGTTATCTGCAAAGTAATGTTGTAGGCATTATATGTGTTCAGGGAAGAGGCGTTACAAAGATCAATCATAGTGCCTACTTTCAACTTATAATTTAGAATAATAGGATCCATTGTTTCACTGATGCAGATACTTCATTTATCTAAGCTGCAAGGTCTCTACAACTTCAAAGGTTGTCACTGAAAATTATTTTGGCTGAAAAATTCATTAGCTTGTGGTGTATTTGGTGGCAAACTTCTCTAATCTTTGTTAGGCTAATTTTCAAATAAAGGTTTGTCCTGGAGACTTCCCCAGCTTGGGAGGACTGGCTAGAAGTTAGGCTTTGCCAGCAAAAGCTTTGAGAAGCTGGGTTCACCTTCATTCCATGATGAAGCATATGAGTAGGACTTTAGTGAAGTTATGGGAAATAAAGCATAGAAATACACATACATGATAGAAAGAGCACCATAAAAGGACAAACTAAGTACTGTGGGTAGAGAAAAAGGAAAGATTACTTCCCACGGTGGAGAAGAGAGAACTTTATGGAGAATGCAGCATTTGAGCTTGACACAAGGGAATAATTGGATTTTTGTAAATGGAGATAGAAAGATAAAGGAATTCCAGATGTTTACAAAAAGACAAGGAAGGGGCAACCAGGTGGTGCAGTGGATAAAGCACCAGCTCTGGATTCGGGAGGACCTGAGTTCAAATCTGGCCTTAGACACATAATGCTTACTAGCTGTGTGACCCTGGGCAAGTCACTTAACCCCATTGCCTGGCCCCCCCCCCCAAAACCCAAAAAACCAAACACAAGGAAGCACAAAGTATTTTGGGGCTAACGACAATGTATCTAGTTTGGTTGGAGCAGAGGATGCACGAAGGAGTGTAATGAGGAATAATGCTAGAAAGATAGGTTGGAGCCTGATCATGGAAGTCACTGAATGGCAGGCTAGGAATTATGACTGTTTTGTAGACAATGAGGAAATTATTGAAAAATTTTGAGCAGGGGACTAATATGATTGGGGTTTGGCTTTAAGAAGATTCATCTGACAGTGTCCAAAGAATGTGAAGGGTATGGAATTCATGTGTAGAAGAAGGGTTTGAAAGAACTGATGATAGGTGGTGTGGAGAAGATAAGACTTCAGGACATGATACCTGTTTCCAAGGTATGTGAAGGGTTGTCATATGGAAGAAGGGTTAGCCTTGTTCTCTTTGGCCTAGAGGGAAAAACTAGAAATAAAATTTAGGCTTGATTTCAGGAAAAGCTCCCTAAAAATTGGAACTGTCCCAAAGTGGAATGTTTTGCCTTGGGTGATATTTCCACTCATCAGAGGTCTTCAGACAGAGGCTGAATGATGACCTGCCAGACATTTTACAGGGGGGATTTCTTTTTTAGGTATGAGTTGCATTAGATAGCCACTGAGGTCTCCACCTCTAAAAATGCTGTAATTCTAGGTGATAAATTATTTAGTTGGTATTCCAAAGTAATAAAAGATTTTCAGTACAGGGCGCATCTTTGAATTTGGGAGAAAGGTAGCAGTATAGGTACCTTTGGATTATGGTGGTGGTGTTTTTGCTAGGATTATTAAATTACCATTTAATACTCAATTATGTTGTCAATGCATTTGGTGAAAATTATTGGTTAAATAGTAACTTACACATAGCAAAAGAAATGGTTCTTAGAAGATGATTTGTATTCTAACACTCCATTTTTTTCCTTCTCTTTTAGCTGCATATGCTTTTGTAGTACTGAAAGATAATACAGATAATTCAGACATCATAATGAATGAGCTCAAATCAATTGTTGCCACCAAGATAGCCAAATATGCAGTGCCTGATCAAATTTTGGTGAGTGGGGCCCAAGGTTATAAACAATTTATTAACTGCACATTTTTTTGTCCTAGCTCAGTAGAGAATCGTTTTTTATTATATATATATATATCATATTCCAGTAAATTCCAATAATATATTACATGATATCATGTAGTATTATGTTATATTCCAGTGGCTTCATGATCTCAATGATATGGGCACTTCCTCCAATGGTACAGGCTGCAACCCATATTCATCTTCTCATCCTGTGTTTCTCTTATCCTTGTTCCCATAAGCCCTCCAGAGGCTCTCCTCCTAGGCTTTCAAACATTCTGTAGGTACCAGTACAATACTTGGTATGTCCACTTGTTATCCCTCGCACTCATTATGACAGGTCCACCTCCATTTTTCAATATTATACCTCTTGATTGATGTTTTATGCCACTTCTAAGTAAGTTATCATTAGTAATATAATGCAGCCATGTAGGATCACCATGGCTCTCCATTGATGTTAATACAAGAGGTCCTTCTTATCAGAGTATTCATTATCTAGGTTCTCACAGTTACAAGGTAGCATTTTGATTTGATTTGATTCTGATTTCATTGGTACAGGAAGTCCTGGTGAGGAAATTCCCCTTTACTAATATAGGTCAGCAGCTGTTCTGTACAGGATGGCTTACTTTTGGGGGATGGGAGCTTCTTTGTATTTTCATTGGGTATTCAGAACAGTAGATTTGTAGAATTTTCTAAGTATTAAAGCAGACATAAGATTTAAGGAACATTATAACTGTCCTATATTGGACCACCAAGGACATTCAGTTATGGAAGATTTGAGTCCACACAAAGGCAAGTTGAATTGGGGAATCTCTAGGGAATGTGATGAGGGCAACGTTGAAAATACTTGACACATTGCCCAAGACTTTGGGAAGGGGGAAACGGGAGGTGTAAGGTACTGTATGCATCCCACTTCTGACTCATATTGTCTACATGACCATGGGCAAGTCATTCAAATTCTCAGTGTCCCAGGCAACTTTCTAAGAACATAAATTTTGCAAGACTTGCTGATTTCCATTGGGAGCTTCCTATCACAGTGAGATCAGAGATTCTGGGTAAGGCACCTCTATAAAGACAATTCTGCTGCTGGAACTGCCTGGAACCATGAAGCCTTAAGTCTTTTAAGATATATTTAGATTTGGGGAATGCAGATTGGTGAACCTCAAGACACCCTGATTTAATTTGCATAGGTTGAAAAATTTTAATTAGGGAAGAATGTAGAAGGTATAGGAGAGCGCTGTTAAGACCCTCTTGGGTTATATAATATCTGTTGGCCTTGAGTACCACTCTTACCCTATTAACACCATTGTTATATAAGAAAGTTAAGTGGAAGTATTGGTGTCTAGTTATATCCATTATTCCAAGTGACCTCTTTACACATAAGATAAAGAGAATGTTAGGGAAAGAAGGTAGGATCCCAAGAGAAGTATATTTAAACATGGTGTTTTTATTTACCATGAGTGGAGCTTGTATGGTGTGGACAACTATTTCCGTATCAGCAAGGGAAATTAAAGGAAAAAAGAAATATTTATAAATAATAGTCAATTATGAATTTGAGTGTGGGGAAAAATCATCTGAATGAAATTTGTGCTGCCCAGTTAAGGAAGTGCTTCATGGAAGTACATTGTCCTTAAGTTGCCTCCAAAGATTTGGCAGTTCTTATCTCTGAGTTATTTTTAATAATGGGCTTACTTTCTGCTCACCAAGATCAGTTTTAGATTGTAGGCTGACACAGAAGCCTGGAAGAACTGTGACTAGAAAGTATCATCCTATAAGGTATACATAGGGCATAGCATAGGGAACTACTATTTTAGGAATCTCTCTATAGGATGAATTACAAAAATCAACCTATTGTAAAAATTGCTTTTTTATCTGAGGTGGTAGGGTGACCTATAGCAAATACCTTTTTGTTTTATCACTCAATTAGACCTTGGCATATAGCCATCCTCAGCTTCTAATGGTCCGGGCATCATTTCCAAATTCTAATAATGGTCCCCCCTTTTTTTTCTTATTAGGTTGTAAAACGTCTTCCAAAAACTCGGTCTGGAAAAGTCATGAGGCGGCTCTTAAGGAAAATAGTCACTGACAATACTGAGGATCTGGGAGATGTTACCTCTCTGGAGGACCCTTCAGTGATTTCTGAAATTCTGAATGCCTATCGGAAACACAAAGCCAAGATATCTGCCTCTTAATAGAGAAGAGATGTGCATCAGCCTTGAAGTTCCAAAAACTTGTTTGGCCAAAACCAAATACAACAGTTGCTTATTGTCTTTTCTCAGGACATATTCCTGAAATTGGTTATTTCCAAATCAGGAAAGAGTTCTCTAAAATCATCACAGAATCTAGTGATCATACATAAGGCCAGTTGTAGTGTTTTCCCCCCTTTTGTTTCCCTGGAAGAGGAACTAGAAATGCAATTAACAAGAGGCAAGACCAAAGTTAAGATATACTCATTCATCTTCATGAAAATGGAACCTAGTTTGAGTTTTGGGGGAGTGGGTTGATGGTGAAAGGAACTTATTTATCTTCCTCAAATATTAGTAGCCCCTTGAGATACAGAAGGGGAAATGTTAAAATGTGCCTTCTCAGAAGATTTAAAATTAGAAGCAATAATATTTTTTCCCAGGTGGGCCTAGGTATAATAGCGTAGAGTCTTTATTTTTATACTTTCTTATTTGAAAACAGCACACAGAGAAGTTTAATGTATGAATTTATTTGTATACATTCTTTGTAACATCATTATAGAGTAGATAGCTACAGTTACCAAAAAATTCATTTCAACTCTTGCAGAGTATGAATGGAATGGGCACACTTACTCCTAACATTTAAAGAATTTTAGAGAGAGGTGTTGAAAATAGATTGATTAATCAATACAATCATATTAATTATTACTGTGCCTTTCAAACATATAGAATGATTTCATTTTGCCTATCAGGACTATGTCTCATTATATACACTGAACAAAATTAATTTCCTAAAAGTGATCCCTTAAGTTATGGCCAGTTCTTTTCTTTTCTTTTCTTTTTTGAGCATTGTTCTGGATGATTTTTTCTTTTCCCCCGAATGCTTCTTGGCTACAGGTCATTAATACTCTAAACTGTGGCACTGCCAAAAGTAACCAATGAAAATTTAAATGACCTATTACAATAAACACTAAAGTTCTTGGAAGAACTTGTTGTGTTCTTGAAAAATGTTTTTGGGTCTACATCATTGTTGGGGGGGGGTATGGAAAACAGGGGCAGTTCAAAGCTCTGATCAGAAATTAAAAACAAAGCAAACAAAAAAAAACTCAACAAGTCTGTTTTATAAAAGTGCTTTAATGTTAACCAAACAGCTGGTATTGACATTAGCTCACTCAACAATTGTTGACTTAATGGTGAACATTTGGAATATTATTAATGCAACTGACATTAGTCAGCTAATATAGACATTAAACATTAGCTATATCACATTATTATGGCACCTAAAACACAATCACTTAGAGAGCAATATACTTAGTATTTTAATTTCTTTTATATATTAGCCAAGGCTCTATTTATTATCTTGCTTGGTTCCCCATGCTTCCTGTAAATAGCTTCTGACCCCTATGATATAGACTTCAAAATGAGATCTGTAGGGTCTGTGGACTTAGAAGAATTTAGCTGCAAATGAATTAAAACAGTATTTTGTTCCCAGTTTACTGTGATAATGACACTGATAAAAGAATGTCATTCTGTTCTCAATGTGATACTAAGGACAAATCAAAGTATAGGCATAATTCACTAAGAATAAAAGAAAGGAAATCTTTTCAAAATTGCTTCGTACAGGGGAGAGATGTACAGGCAGCCTACATTTTTCTGGCAACCTCATCTATCTGGAACACAACTGAGAACCAGGAGTAATAAATGGTCATTAAAGCGAAGCCAAAAAAATGGCCCGTGAGTCAATAAAATGAATCTCACAATATTTGTGTAATGAAGTTCATTTACTTTACTCATGGAACAAGAAGCCCTCACTCAGAGCCTTTTCACTCTTTTTTTGTTCACAATTTTAAATGGTTTGTGTGGCATAGTGGAAAGCATGCTGCAGTTGGAGTCAGATTCTGGGTTCAAATCCTACTCCTTGCATCTATGAATTTGGGCAAGTCATTTAAACTCTTTGGGCCTCAGCTTTCCCATCTGGAAAAAAAGGTCATCTCTAGCTCTAAATTTTTGATCCTATGATCTATTTTCCAAAATGATGGAGAAAAACAACAAATTAGGAGGTTTGAGGAGACTGTTACAGGTACACTGACAGTAGAGAAAAGTAATAGCTGTCAGCGAGAGAAACTATAAAAAGCAGAGAAAAGAATTTTAAAAGTACAACTGTTTCAGAGTAGTAAACAGTACCAGAAGTGATTCAAGGACACTCTCAAGATCTCTCTGAAGAACTATGGAATTAATTGTGAGACATGGGAGACACTGTCAGAGGCCCGCTCAGCATCAAAAAGACTGCTGTGCTCTACCAGCAAAGCAGAACTGTAGGAGGTCAAAAGAGATGTGAGATGTGCGAATTTAGAGACATTTCCATTCCAAATGTTCATATAGACCTGTGGTAGAGCCTTCTGAGCTTATATTGGTCTCATCAGGCACAGTTGGACACGTACCTTGACATAGATGTCATCCTCTTTGGGCATAAAGGCCAACAACCAGTAAGCATAGTACCAAACACTTCATGAGACTCTAAAGGTTGATAAAATGTCAAGGAATGCTTTCAAAGAATATTAGTTAAACTTGGTGCTGCTCTGAGTTGGTTTCTTAGTGGAACAGGAAGGCTGAAGGAAACCCTCTGAAATCTCATGTCTTGGCAAGCAATAGTACCTTACCTCCTTAAGCTGGCATTTACAGCTATCCACAACCTGCTTCCAACCCACAATTACTGCTTTATCCCGTACTGTTCCATTTCTTCCATTCTGTGTTCCAGACAAACCAGACCACTAGTTGTGTTCCCTCAACTCTTTCTGTGATCTCCTACCTCTGTGCATTTCTTTGCACTGATTTGTTGCCTTCGTGACCCAGCTCAGATGTCATTTCTATGAAGCTCTCACCAGTGATTTACCTCCTGACTTACATGCATGCTCACTACCACTCAGTTTCCTCATCAGCAAAATAAGGAGGTTGGGTCATATAACCTTTAGCTCTAGAGCTAGCATCCTATTTTCCTATGATTGCCCCAGCTGAAAGTTATCAATCCCTCATATTTTCTCAGAGAACTTGTCTTTGCCCTATTACACTGCATTTTGCATCACACTCATTTGTGTGTAGCCTGTTTATTAGATCATAAGTGTTTTCAAGGTTAGCAGGGATGGTTGGGTTTTTTTCTTCTAATCTCTGTATTTCAGGGTACAATGCCTGGCACATGCTTAATAAATGTTTATTTAATTGTTTTTATTATTAAATTTAATATTAAATATTAAATTTAATTTAATTGGCACCAAGTTTGAGCCAATAAAAGAGTTTCAACTGTAACTTCCCAGGAGAGAAAAAAGACAAGACAGAATAAGATAATACAGAGTGGAGATGGAAATGAAAGCGGTGAGTTTTAAAAAAGAGTGGGAAACAGAAAAAAAAAGAGAAATATGTGGATTAGTTTTAGCAAACCTATAAAGTGAAATATTACAGGATGATCACATTACATATTTTAGTTTTGCCCTGTTAATTTTGCTTATTTGCATATCAAATTTTTTTAACCTTAAAAAGTATCGATCTGAAATAGAAAGAAAAGGCGTGGGGGGGAAGAGATATTTCTCTTAGGCAGGGAAAACTCAGAAGTTGGGGCAGCATCTGTGTCAATGATCCTTAAATCTTGGGGGGAAGAGGCTTAAGGCCTTTCAAGTAAAGGAGTACCTCTGGTAGAAGACAGGGGAGGTCAGTTCTCTACTTCATGGTTGGGGTGTAATTGTTCATAGGTGGAGATTTTATTGTGCCAAGCAGCAGTTAAATCTTGACTGGCAGAGGGAAATCTCCCCACATCACAGGCCTGGAGAGGCATGAGGAATAAACCAAGTAACTAACCCTATAATTTCCTGTTCAAGGAATACTAGTTGGACTTGAAATTATTGCTAGAAAATGTTGTAGGTAGATGCACAGATTTCTTATTTTTCACTGTACAGAAAATGAAGTAAAAAGTGTTTGAGTTAGCAATAGCCTATATTATTCAAAAGAATCCTGAGGGCAAAAGCCTTGAAACTCAAGATGAAAAGCTTTTTGTCTCATGAGTTGTTCACTATTTCAATATTTTTATTTTGGATGAAAATACAGTGGCATGCCTATCAAATTTACAGATGACACAATGCTGAAAAGGATATTTAACATGTCCTCTTTTCATACTCTTTCTTCCTCAGGGATTTTACCACTGGTTCAATGATTACTTCTATAAAAATAACTCCCATTTCTCTATATCGAGTTTTAATTTCTTTCCTGAACTTTAATTCCACTTTATCAGCTACTTGCTAGATATCTTACCTTTATGACTTGTAGCATCTTTGACAGGCAGCATGGTATAATGGTTAGTTTGTGGCACTTAGATTTGGGAAGATATGAGCTCAAATCTCTTCTCAGACACTTACTAACTGTGTAACCAAACTTATCTTCTTGCCTATAAAATGGGTATAATCTTCCTTGTAAGGCCTACTTCTCATGGTTGTTGGGAAAGTCAAATGAATATGTATATAAGTTGCTTTGTAAACATTAAAGTACTATATAAATGTCACATAATATTGTCTCAAATTCAACACATCCAAATCAGAATCAACATTTCTCCTCCTAGGATGCCCATTTCCACTGAGGGTACCACCATGCCTCCAGTCACTCATGTTTAAAAACTTGGCATCATCCTTGACTTTTTCCTCATCCCATATATCAGTTGTCAACTATTGTTCATTCTACCCCCACAACATCTCTCACATCTCACTACCTTTCCCAGAACTACTTAAATAGCCTTCTAATAGCCTGCTTCTTCCATTCTCTTCTCTCCAATCTGTCCTCCACATACTACCTGATACATACAGTAAGCAACACTTAATAAATGCTCAATGACTTTTGACAGCTGTAAAATATTCCAAAAAAACCAGCTCATCAACCACTTCACTCCCCTATTCAAAAATGTTCAGTGACTCCCTATTGCTTAGATCTCTTAACCTGGCATTTAAAGGCCCCCACAATATGACCCGTGCCTACCTTTCTGGTTTTATTTCAAATAATCCCCTTTCATGCAATCTCCATTTCAGTCACATTTACCTGCTAGCTGATCCTTATAAATGATACTCCATCTCCTATGTTCCTGAGTACAGGTGTTGTTTTCTGATACCTGAAATGGATTTCCTTCTCACCTTACCTTATAGAATCCCTAAATTTCCTTCAAAGCACAGCTTAGGTGCCTTCTCTTACACAAGGCCTTTCCTGATTACCCTCAGTGCTCTCTCCCTTTTGAAATTACCTTTGAATGTACTCTGTATATATGACTTATGCATATGTTGTATTTCCCCAGTAGAATGTAAACTCTTTTAGGGAAAGGACTATTTTTTTTGGTCTTTGCACCCCTAGTACCCAGTACAGTGTATTTAAGTGTCTATTATTAGTGGGTGCTTAAGTATCTGGTTTTTAAAATTTTTTTATTTATTTTTTGACACAATTTTATTTTGACAACAGATACTTCCCTACAAAAACCATCCCAAAGTTAAGTATTTGTTGATTTGGAATTTTTGAATCAAGATCCAAAAAGATACTGACTTACTAGAACCACAGACTAAATCTAATAGGATGAAAGATGCTAAGTATAAAAATGCCCTTTGGTTAAAAAATTCAACTGTGTATGGAATGGAACACAGAATGGAGACAAGCCTGACTTAACAGCAGCTTATACGAAAAAGACGGGAGTTTTAGTTGAATTCTAACAATACGGATTAATACATGGGAGTAAAAAAAACTACACTTTGTCATTAAGACATACTGTTTCATTCATTTCAGATATTGTATACCTGTTAATGTCTACTGCTGTATTCTAGGTTGGTCAGAACACATTTGCAAAACTATGTTCCACGATGGGCTCCATACTTTAAAAGGGATAATGGCAAAATACAAAGTCAAGAAGATACAGGGAGGGCTATGAACCCATGCCATATGAGAAATGGGTGAAACTTGGGGGACATAAAA